GTTCATTCAGGTCTGATCCAGAGTACATCTTTTAAGGTAAATGGATTGGACCAGATTTCTCAAATAGTGCTAGCTTTTAGCAAATACCCTTTGGGCTCTCAGTGCCTACTGTGAGCAGACCCTTGATTTTAGGAAACAGTTTAAAAATGAAATGTACCTTGATCCCCTTTATGTTGCAGGTGATTGAACCTGATAATTCAGTGAGCTGAGGCCATTTCAAGAGAGGAATGTTTTAGGACACAGCTGAGTTGTTGAGGGACAGCTGCACTTTGATCCTAAGAGCTTTGCAAGGCTGAATTTTAAAGATCCCAGAAGATGGTGTCTGCTTGCATCCTGGTGCCAAGGCACCCACATCACTGGAGTAGTTGTCTGACCAGGAGAAGATTGGCCCTGCCAGCCTGGCATGGCTGCTGCTCCCCAGGTCAGTGAGATGGGAAGGTCACAGGAGAGTGGGAGGTCTCCAGATTCACTGAGGCTTTGTGTCCAATTTCCAAAAGCTTCCAGCAGTGCTGCTCTGAGCTCTGCAGGTCCTGGGAGCTGGGAACTTGGCCTTGGAGTACATAAAAGCATTAGGGTGGCTGTACCATGAGCTCACCTTTCCATTTACCTTCCCCATCCTTCTCTCCCTGTGCAGTCTGACACAGCCTGTGTGTTTTCACTTTATATCACAGCAGTGTGAAGCCAGTCATTGACAAAACCCTCTTTTTGGAGAAGAGGATTATTGAGTGTGTCCTGGAGCAAAAGCTTGAGAATAATATCCTGGGGGAATAATGGGCAGATAAAACTCTTGATTCCTGCTGACTTCAGAGTCAGGCCTGTGGGAGCTCTGAGGTTCACCTTGTCAGGGGGATGTCCCAGCCAGTTTGGTCAGTGTTGCACAGAGCTGCTGGCCCAGCCCCAGCCTGGCTCTGTGACTCTCCCTGTGCTGCCCCTGTGCCAGCAGGTAACCCCACCAGGTAACCACCCCGTGCCTCCTTACCCTTGCAGGCTGTTCTGCTGCCTGGCCTTGCCATCTCCTGGCAGGTACATTGCTGACAAAGCACTGGGGACAGGTCACAGCCTGCCTTGCTGACAGAGTTACAAAATGGATCCAGGACCAAACCCATCCCACAAAACATCAGGATTAAATATTGAAATCCTTGGTGTTGCTTGTGTGATTAAAAGTGCTGAGGAAAAGGGCTTTGTCAGGAGGGAGGATCAGCTGAAGCTGGGAATTGTCCCAGGGAGCATCTGTGTTCTCCTGCCTTTGGCTCTGCTTCCATGAGGCACTTCCAGCCCTATTGCTAGACCAGAAGATGGGTGATGGAAGGGGAGCCCAGTGAGCTGGGAGAACAAGGAGAGGAGGGGAACAGATACTGGAGCAGAGTTTTTTGGAGGTTGCTCATGGAAGCAGTTCTCCAGTTAGGGCAGGGGGTGGGGGGGAGAGTATCCTGGGACCCTGTGTTGATCCCTGTGCTTGCTGCAGCACTGCTCAGCCAGGCCAGGGGCTGGGAAGAGCTCACTGTTCCCTGCTTCTGTCAGCCTGCAGCTTGTCCTTTTTGGATTTGTGCTTTGTGTTGGGGCTGCACTGTCCATCCTACTGATGGGCCTGGGCTAAAGCAGCCAGATTGTAACTGAAGAGTGGCCTTGTGGCTAAATTGGAAGGACCAATGTGCCCCAGAGGCCAGACCCCCTCCCTCTCATCCCTCAGAGGCCATTTCTGAGCCTGTAATGTGCTGACCATAGTAAAGGGGAGCTCCCATAATGAGGGAATTTCCACCGTTACCTGCAGCCATTAAGGGGAGGGTCCTGTGCTTGTCAGTACTGGAAGCACTCACTCTTCTGCCTCGGGAGCTGTTGATAGCAGCACCTGAGGAGCTCAGTAATCCTCCAGGAAGTGAGTGATACATCCTGGCCTTTGATTTAGCCTGCTCAAACTGGCCTAGTTCTTAAATTTAACGGGCTTTAGCAAAAATTGTATTAGTATTTTAAATTAACACAGTACAACAAATTATTTATTATGGCAAGTAATTCCACAGAAGGGTACAGAATGAGAAAAAAATTTCCAAAAATCATAGTAAGGTACAACATGATCTACTCATATGATTCCACAAGCTTTCATAGCAAAATCTCAGGCTTTGTCCCAGCCAAAAGCAAACATCTTTCACCTGATTTCTGCATAACAGGGTGTTACTGGTTCAATGATGGTCTGGAAGGTTAGGAAGTGAGTTGTATTCACTGTTTGTTGCTTTTTTCTTCTCTCTCAAAGCAGAAAGGTAGCTGTAAACTACCTGTAGCCTGCAAAGTACAGCTGGCAGTGAGGCATAATCCCCCTGCACTTACCTGTGCTGCACAGGCTCACAACAGTTGTTGAAGCAGACTTTATTTAAAGCAAAATAAGTAGCAAGTAAGTAAGTAGCACAGGAGGGAGTAAATTAACCAACCCATTGGATGAAAGTCAGGGTAGGGCAAGAGGAGTCATGGGACTGTTTAAATCTGTCAGAAATGATGACATAATGAGCAATAACTACTCTATGTTCCATCACTGGGCCCCTCCTACACTCACTTAGCAGTATTTCTACATTTCTCATGCAACCTGCCTGTGTGACAAATCCACACACACATTGCACTCAATTAGTGTCAAGCATAAGAGCTGCTCTGCCTGTGTCTCACCTCTCTAAACCCCTCCTGGAAGCAATTTTCCCAGCATACAAAGAATAAATCACCGTTCTCCTTAATCTCTCAGAGGACAGTTCCCAAATAAGGGCCAGGTAAGCACATGTAATACATGATAAAGCATTATAATCTTCCCAGCAGTAGATGCAGGGTATTTGCTGCTTTAAGTGTTCAGTGTTACATGTAATTAAAAATGTCAGGGGAGGTGAGACAAGGCACTTGAATAGGCACTTGTAGAAAAGTAGTGGAATACCTGGCTTAAAAACCACAAACCCCAGTCCTTTCCCCCTCTAAAAAAATACAAAAAACCCACAACAAACAGCCAAACAAACTGTTAAAAATAAATGCACACCTACTTTAGTAGGTATGACTTACTTTACCTGTGTCCCAGTCATTCCAGAAGCATCAGCAGATGAAGAATTGAGGAGAGCAGGAGGGAGTACAATCCTTCCTGGGGTGCCAACTGCACCAGGGTCAAACCATTAGCTGAATATGACAAATGACTTACATGGCCACACCTTGTGGAATCAACAGCCACTGTGCTATTAGAGTGTCCCAAGGAGTCTCCTCTGACACTGGCTGTCTCTCCTCACATACATTTTCAGGTGAACAAACATCTGCCTCCTTTGTGCTGTGGTGCACTGCAGGAATTTATCCCCTCCTTTCCTACTCCTGTTTCCTTGTGGTGGAGGCTGGCTGGCTCAGAAAGCATCACCTGCCAGTGAGGGAGCAGCTGTCCTGAACAGCAAACAGCCCTGGGTGGCTGCAGATACTGTCGTGCTGTAAGATGTGTGTCAGAGGGGCTGGAGGGGAGCACCAATGACCTTACAGTGGGTATAGGATGAGCAGAGCCACGGGGTCTGTGTTGTCAGCACCCTCTGTGACTGCTGGGGACAGGTGGGGTGGAGGGCACGTTTCCCTTTGCTGCCACTGGCCCAGCTGCACAGGCAGTCCACCTGTGCCATCCTGGGATGTCCTGAGCAGGAGGGGAGCGTGCCTGGCCTTCCACACCCTCATCATGGTGTCCCTGCTTAGTGTGGATTCTACATCCCCAGTGCCCTCCTGATGTCCCAGGGAGGCCAAACAAGCGGGGCTGGGGTCTCCTGATGTCCCAGGGAGGCCAAACAAGTGGGGCTGGGGTCTCCTGATGTCCCAGGGAGGCCAAACAAGCGGGGCTGGGGTCTCCTGATGTCTCAGGAAGGCCAAACAAGTGGGGCTGGGTCTGCAGCCTGAGCAGGGGCTGTGCTGGAGCAGCACAGGCGGGAGTGAGGCGTCCTGGCTGCTCAGGGCTGCTGGGGGCCATCACTGCCTGAGGCTGGCTGGGAGCTGCACAGCTCCTCTCTGCCGGTGGGACTGGCCCATGGCCACATCCCCAGGGCTCAGGGACATGGGGACACACAGCTGCAGTGTGACCTCAGCAGCCTCAGGACAACGGAGCCGCCGCCGCTCAGCCGTGACTCAGGAGAGGCCACGTGAGGCCCCGGCCCCGACGCCTTCCCTGGGCTGGGATCCCTGAGCCAGGATCCTGAACCACCACACAGCCCTGCAGGTGAGTGCTGGGGAGGGGCTCAGGGGCTTCTTGGGGCCAAGCCTGAGGGTGCTGGGGGGCTGCCTGCTGGCTCTTGGTTCTGCTGGGTTATTGGCTGCCGTTTGAGGCATCAAGCCGCTGTACAGGAAAAGGGTGCTGTGGGGATTACAGGACTTCCCTATAACCTCTCTTAGTGACTCAACTGGAGTCTTTTTGACTCAACTTCCCCATCTTTTAAATAGTTTTTTTCTCTAAAATCCTTGCAGCAAGCCCAATACTTTATGCAAAGAGAAAGATTTGTTTGCCTTAATTTTACTCAGGCTGCGAGCATAAACATTTCTGGCTTCTGATGAGCTAATATTCTTCCTTCAGAGCTTTACAGCAACTACAGAGAGGCACAGGGTGTGAAAGGAGAAACAAACTGAGTAATTTCAAATGTTGCACGTCAATGCTTAAGGCAGAGCTGGAAAATGGGCAGCAACCTCCCCAGGGCTCACAGGTGTGGAGCTGGCAGCAGTGCAGCCACCGTGTCTGGGCCTGCTGTGAAAGCCAGGGGAGGAAGGAAGTGCTGGAGCTGCAGCAAGGAGTGCTTGGGCTGTGCCTGCTCCTTGCTCACCCCCATGGGGCTGTCAGAGCTGGGGAGCTGCCCTTGCTGCAGAGACCTGCACTTGCTGGGTCTCTCTACATGCCTGTGTTCAAGGAGAGTGAAAAGTCCAAGTTTTGCTGCTTCTCTGTCACATTTCAGCTGCAGTTGACAACAGGAAGGCAAGCAGAAGGGTAGCAGAGTTATTACCACAGCCCGAGGAGCCTGGAGCAGGAAGGGTTTCAAACGGAACTGGTGTGGATCAGCTTTTGTTGTCTCACAGGAAGAAACTCAGCTTTCACCACAGCCACGGCCCTCCAGGACATCTTCCTGTGGAACCAACAGCTAGGACCAACCTAAGACTTGCAGGTGTGCTTTAAGAAGTTGGTTTGGTTTGATTTGAGAGAAGAGAATTGAGGGACTTTATCTTTAAAATAAAATTTAGCATGTTTAGGTGTCAGCATATAACTTAAAATGAAAGGTGAAAGCAGTTTCAAAGGGAAAAGGTCTGGGATTGTCTGATTTTTGTCTTGAAGTTCAAGCAATCTTATTTTATTTGCATATTTTTTATTTCCCCATTGAGTAATTTCCCTCAGATATATTTAATCAGCTAAGCAAAGATTCATGTATGGAAATTGTTAGCCTCACTTTCTAAATCTGACTCTGCACAGAAGTTTTAATCTAACACGTTAAAAAGACCTCACTACAATTAAATTCTGATTTACTGAGGAAAGCAAGGTGAGGTCTGTTGTTCATGTCATTCCCCAGTGAGCTCATGGCCAGGCTGAAATGCCTGTATATCATCATCCTTCTCTCATTATGAGGGATAATCAACTAAGTCACTTTTAAAACATACAATAATTAGGCACCTATACTTATCCTTTGTTTAGATCTGATTTTCTTTCCAGAAGAGCCACAAGGGAATTAATGTGCATAGTCTAAGAGAAATTAGCTACCCAACTTCCTTGGCTAATGTAAATCTTGGTGACTGACTGGGCTGAGCTGTGCTGGAGGCACAGAAAGGGAGATGGGAGCAGATGCTGAGTGCTCCTGGATCCTCTTGTGGCATCCAGGTCTTAGCACAGCAGGATGCAAAAGTTGCATTGGGCAACTCTGTTTCTGTTGCTGGAACAGCTGAGCAGTGTGCTGGCTCATTTGGGCCAGCAAATGAATAGTTTTGAAGTAAATCAGTCTGATAGCAGATGAAGATGATGTTGGCAGTGTCTGCCCTGCCTTCACTGTTGAATCTGCTCTTCCTGTGTGCGTGGCAGGACAGGTCAGGTAGTGCCAACCTGCTCACTTTGTCTTTGGGATGATGCAAAGCTGGGATAGGGCAGCTGCTGTGACAGGTTCCTGTCAGGGGAACAGCAACCTGCCTTTAAATGCCACTGAAAGTCACTAGGTATGAGGAACCCCAAAGACAAACCTCCTGAGTTTCATTAGACAGTAAAATATCAGAATACTTTTAAATTATTTTCTGAAATTAAATTAATCAGCTGGGAAAAATGTTTATATTTAAGGTACTTTTGTTCCTTTAGCTCTGGTATTTTAATTATCCAGTCCAGAGAGAGGCCTAAAGGATTTAGGTTAAACAAGCAACTGTTGCAAGGTCTAAGTTGAGCAAATAGGAAGGCAGGAAAGAGACTGGAAAAGGCAGAAAACTGTAGCTGGAGATATCTGAGTGCTGTGAACTGACACTGAGTGGCCAAGAACGAGTCTGTCCAGGGTGTGGCGTGCTGGGTTCCTACATTTCCACATCAGCTGCTGCTTACCCACAGAGGGGACAGATGCATTTCCTGCATTCCCTATCGGTGCTCACAGCTCCCACAGGGCTGCTGCCACAGCTACAGCAGCAAAGGCTGGATGTAAGTCAGGGGAAGGGGAGGATCTGTAGATTTTTTGCATAGATTCATCACTGGGAATAATTTCAAATGTTGTTAAAATATTGTTCTCTCTCAATACACTTTGGAGGCAGGTAAGCCAAGTTTTCTGAGCTGATCCTTTGAAAGTGGTTATGTAATTTTCCCAGAAGTCTTTTGAAGTCTGTTTGTGTCTAAGTTCCTCTGTCTGAGAACTGACACCCTAAAAAGTTGTTCCGTTTGAGTGTTTGCTTATGTGTTACAGTATCCTTCTGAAGATATTAACTGACCTGTTTTGGGTTTTGAATTAGAATGTTTTTTGGACTGATACGATTGTCTTTAGAGAACTGAAAGTGCCAGTAGGAAAAGAAACAGATTTTCATCTGGAAAGTTTGAAGGGTATACTTAGTTTTCAAACTGCTTGATTGGAAGTGTTTTCTTGAATGGATCCAAAATCATATTGTAAGAAAATGTGTGGACATACAAACTGTTTTACTGTTGCATCCTGCATAGTGGAAACTGTGCTTTAGGCTCCCCGAAACCCTTCTTTTGCATCTCTCAGTGCAGCTGTTGGTTGGTTGCAGTGTTGCACAAGGGGAGATGTATCAGTGCAGAATGCCTGGACCATGCTAGGCAGAGGCAACAGTTCAGAACCACAGCCACCACAAAATGTGCACCATCAGAATGTTCCAGCCTCAGCCCAAAACTTCTGTGGCAAGTTTATCAAAATGAATTAAATGCTGAATTTTGGGGATGTCAGAACATTTGTTTCTTTGGCAAATAACAATAATTAGTCTGGGATCAACACTTAAAAGTTTGTAATTCATAAAGTTAAATTTATGGAAATTTCATGACAACTTGGGAAGAACAGACATTGAAGTATCAAAGTCTTCTGTGAGGCAAGAGTTCAAAGTCTTGTGGGACTTTCCTAGGAACTATTTCTGCTCTTTTTCCTGGCTGATACATTTTAAGTATTAGGATGTAAAAGCTACAGGATAATTGTTCTGTTTCGTGAATGGAACCCAGCCTATTAGGTTACTCACATCTGTGGTAAATGTTTAATTAGACACCTTGATAGCTTTACAAAACAACAATGTGAATGATCAAGTCTGACTTCTTTTTCTTTTACTCATGATGATCAGACTTTTCTTCTTTCCTAATAACCAAAGGCCAGTAGGGCTCACTTGGAGGAGTCAAGAATTGGGTCCCAGGAGGGTAAATGAATCATGATGTGAAACAGAGAAGTGATTTCAAAACTGAAAGGCCCAAAGACAGACACTGTGTTTGCAGAAAATCACAGACAGAAAACCAGGAAGGTCAGTGACCTGATTCTAAATGTGCTTTTTCTCCCCTCTCAAACAGGCACAGCAATGGAGAATTTGGATGTCCCAATCCCAGATCTTACTGAAGAACAGCAAGGTGAGGGAAGCACACAAAGGTCAGAGCTTTGGCTCATGCACAGTGCACAGCAGTGTTTGCCAGGGTGGGCATGAGTCAATAAAATCTGTTTCCTCTGAATATGCACCCTATCCATCTCCTTGCTTGTAAAGAGAGACCAGCACTCAATTCCCAGCTCTTCCACAGGCTCCTGTTAGGCTTTCTGCACATACAAGTGGGAATTTAGATACATGAAGGAGACTTTACTGTGCATTAAATGCCTGATGAGCAATCTCAGTGCCTTGGTATGCAGTCCTTGGGGTCTTTGTGCCTGTCTGTAAAACAGCAGGGTCAGAATAAACACTTGTTAAATAGTTAGGAATACTTTGGGAACACTTGCCATGCTTCTCTAACTGAGACAACAGCATCACAGAGACATCAATCATTTGTATGGACTGTTGACATTTGTCTGGTGTTTTGTGATGACTGAGGTGCTGTATACAATACAGCAGCACTCTCCTGTGTGCTGTTACTGGGCAGTGTGTTACAGCCTGGTGTGTGTCTCCATACCTGCACTGAGCTCCACAGGAACACTGCCATGAACCCCCCTCTCCTCCTGCACAGTGACAGGTTTGTTTTCCTTACAGACATTTTTCAGAGAGCTTTTGCTGCTGATGCCAAGTACTTGGAGAATCATGAGAAAATGAACCAGTCCTTCTGGGAATCACTTGTGAAATGCTTGGCCACTACTGACCCACCTATCCTGAATACTGAAGAAAAGAACAATGTAAGTTACCAAAGGAACACTTATCCTTGTTATTTTACTTTTCTCCTATACTGTGGGGAGAGAGAACACAGTCCCACTAGCTGATGTACTGAAATAGATTAAAAGGTGTAACAGGGCATTTAGGTAAATGAGGTTCAGGCCATTGTTTTTTACTTCACTGCTCTCCATGTGCAAAAATAACTGGCTCTGTATAAATTCCTCAGGATCAGCTCAGCTCAGTGTGTTCTAGGCAGGACCATTGTTAGTCACATTTTGCTGTGAGAAACTGCAGCAATTGCACGGCCTTCTTCAGACCCTATAGCTGTGTTTCTCCAGCTCTCTGAATAGTTAACTGTTGCCCACCATGCTGTTTTTCCCAGCTGATGGCTCTGCTCCCAGTTGCTGAATGGAGTTTACATTCTCTTCCCATCTTTGACATGACTGTGTCCCCAGTTTTCCCTTTTTATAGTGGGAGCAGGGGGTTACATTTCCCACAGGGTGGGATACACTCATTTGCCCATCAGGGTGTGCTTCTACAGGCTGTGTTTTATTGGAAAGACCATTTGCTAGTTACTGACCTCCTTTCCAGCTCCTTAACAGCTGTGATGTGCTCCCTGAAGGCTGTGCTGCCTGCCTGAAAGCCATAGAGAAGAAAGGAGCCAGGGCAATGGTTCTTCTTTACCTTTTGCTGAAGACTTCCAAGCCATCTGGGTACAGGCAGCTGCCCAGCTCCAAGGGAAAGGGTGAGTCCTACCTGTCCTCCTGTCAGCTGTCAGTGGGACTTGACAGCAGCTTGAACACTGGTATGTGCTTGGAAGTGATTATTAGTGAACAACTGAACTGTCTGGAAGTGCTGCTCAGGAAAGGCTGTTAGGTGTGGTGGTAATAGGAGCCAAAGTTAGTATTTTACTGCAGTTAGACTTGGCTTCTTCTGGGGAAAACCCACCTGTGTTTAGGGAGAGAGCATGACCTGGGATGGTGCTGCCAAAGAAGTTTGTCTGACTTGAGAATGTTTTCCCTGATGTTTTTGCACAGGCTGTTATCCAGCCAGCCAGGACCCCCCTGAGCACTCACAGTGGTAGGAAATCAGAGCTGAGCCAGTGAAATATTTGTGCAAATACAATTCCCTAGCAGCACATGTAAAACTAAAAGGAATGGACAGGAGATGGCACACAGGGTGCTGAACCTGGCAACAAGTTAAAAGAGACTTATTTGCCTGGTTGTGCAGGAAGAAACCAGGGGCAGTTTCACAGGGTCCATAGTCATTAATTGTCTTTAACAGATGACAGAGGAGCACTCACTTAAGATGACCCTAAATTTATCTGGGGACCCTCAAGGACATCCTGTTCCTCCTTCTGCCTTGATTGAACATGTTCCTGAAGGGGAGAGACCTCCCAGCCTGGTGCACAGCCCAGCTTTGGTCATCTCTCAGAGCAGGAATATTGGTAACAAGACCCTTGGGCTGTGAGCAGCCTCGAGGAGCTGGAGGAGAAGGAATCCCATCTACCTGCCTGTGCCCAAATCCTGCACCTCCTGATGAAGAGATGGTGTTCAGGGTCATCCCTGGCCACAGGAGGCAGCAGCAGCAGTTGGGATCCTGGCGTGGCCCGGCTGTCAGGGCTGTGCTCCTGTGCCACGAGAGGGAGCTGCAGCCGCGGCGTCGGCACAGGGAGCCCTGGCAGGAGTAGCCCAGGGCAGGGTGAGCCACTCCTCTCCAGCTGCTGCTGCTTCAGGGAGTGGGAATTTGCACAGGGGTAACATTATGAATAATTAAACGCCAGAATATGAAAATTTAGGTGTCTACCACAACCAGTTAAGAAGATCTAAACTGTAGTGCGTGTGATGCTTTCATTTGATGCTTTGTACTACTACCCTTTGTGTGCCAAAACCACAACTGAAATTAGACAAAGGGTCTGATTTCCTGTCAGGCAACTTTTAATAAAGCATTGGGAAATTTGTAATTGTAAAATAGAAAATGTAGTCACTGATAATGGTTTTTTTTTCTCTCTTTATAAAAAAGATGAAAAATTGAAACTCCTGAAGAGTTTGGAAAGGAATTTTCTATATTCAGAAGAGGACAAAAAGTCTGAAAACTCAGCCCAGGAGTCCATGGATGAAGATGCACAAGGTAAAGAGGATTTATTTTATTTTTTATGATACATAATTTAGTCTGCATGTTTGTAAGGCTTGACAAAAGAGATGTGGCAATTCTGTAGAGCTCTGAATAAAGTAAGAAATTGTGCAAAAGAGAGAATGTAGAAAATCATAAGTACCTGATTCATAATCAGCAAAACAGTGGCTGCCACCCACTCTTGTGGAAGTTGGTTTCAGAAACATAGAAATCTGCTGCAAGATTCCTTCTCCAAATAAAAGATCCTAACTTCTCTCTACAGCCCTTTATACAAGTTAATCCAACTTCAGGTTTTGCTGAGCTTCACCTATTCAGCCAGCTTTGAAGGGAGCTGTGAGGCAAAAGCAGCCAATAGTGATCCCTGCATTTCAGAGCCTTGATTTTTACCTTCATATGGTTACATTGTGAGCAAACAACTGCAGTGCTGTTGTTTCTGATGCTGCTAGCACATTTTTCTTTACTCTGATGAACAAATACTTTCTCCTATCCAGACAGTGATGAGGAAGATTTAGGAATACAGAAGACTGAAGGCCAGTTACTTGGAGGTAGGACAAAGTGACAACAGTATTGGCTTTTACTAGAGGCAACCAAACCAAAAAAGGACTATTTTTTACGTTCTTTGCTTTGGCTGTTGAACAAAGGTGTATTAACATATGTAGATGTAAAAGAAAGACAAGTCAGAATTTGGCTGTAGGAAAGACATTTCCTACAAGATGAAGCTCAACTAATGTTGACACTCAGCCATGGCCTGTGCTCAGAGTTGAACCAGGAAAGCAGCAAAATCTGCTGTTGTGGGAGGAATCCTGCTGCCTGGGTCTGCACAGCTGCCACTGAAATGCAGCAAGAGGGTTCTGAAAACATCTGTCACAGCCACCTCTTAGAGGGGCTGCAGTCAGCCCACAGCACTGACTGGAGATCATCAGCCAGGGCCACCTTGTTCCTGAGGCTTTTCCTTTCCTACCAAATAAAAAGTGGAAAATAAGTATAATGCAGATGAAGAAAATGTGCTGTGTCAATACACAGAAATACCTATAGAACTAGGGATGTAAAAATGTAAAGCATTAATATTTTAATTAATATTTTACATTTGGGCTGAGCTCAGTTTAAGAGCAGCTCATTTAAAATTGACATTAGGAGATCTAATCTGTCTCAAAGGAGTCTGATTCTACTCGAATCATTCTACCCCTCCAGATACTTGGAGAGGTGGAATAGCAAGGGGGAAGAGTTCACTCATTTTCCACTTTTTGACTTTGTAACCCCCAGCAGAGGCACCCTCTTTAAGGGGTTAGAGTCAGTCTCTTCCTTGTCTCTGTTACACACCCACACTGATTTCAGGGATCTGATAGGTTGGCACTGGCACAGACACCCTCACTGCAGGTATTAACCACATCATCTCTGTATCATGTTTTAGGAATACCAGCAGAGGTGGTTCCTTACAGAGATTCAGGTAAGTGCTCCCAGGTCACCTCATCCTGCTGGAATGACTATAACTGCAGTGTCTTCTTTCTGACCTGCTGAGACAATTAACAATAACTCAGGCTGTAAATCCCTTGGTTTCCAGCTAGCCTGGTGTTGGGCCTGGGCATGGTGCAGACATTCTGTTGCAAGGCTGTGGTAGTGCCTGGCTGACAGCAGGTGATTTGCACAAGGTATTCTGGCAGATTAACCCATTTTTGTAGGCCTGCCAGCTTCTCACAAGATCAGCTCATAGCAGTCATTCTTTAGGGAAAAAACCCAGCAGTTCTGTTGGGCAACTGTTTAGTCCTAGCCAAAAAAGCTAGAGGCAGTTTTTAGCATTCCCTGAAGGCCTCTGTCCCCTGCTGAGCAGGGGTGCAAGGCTGGGAGGAGCTGGAACCTGCTTTCTGCCAGCAGTGATGCTTGGCTCTGAGTGCACAGCATTCCCAGCAGGAGGTGCCAGGTGAAAGCCTCAGCCACAGAGCAACAGTGCCAGGCAAGAGGCCTGCACAGACAGGCAGTGTGAAGGCAGACTTCCTCCCACCAGACACTCTGCACAGCCCCAGAATGTTTGTAAAAGCCCACAGCAGGAAATTGCCAACAGCTTAATTGCATTACTGAGCTCATCCCTCCTGTGCCCAGGCCAAGGCCAGAGGATGAGTTAGGAGAGACAAACAGCCCAGTGGAGCAGCCTTTGGAGAGGACATCTGCTCCACTTCTGTTCTGTGCAGTGGAAAGTTACAAATTTCAGTATAATCCTTTGGGGAGGTTTTTGAGTTACCTATCCCCAAGGAGCCACAGGAACATCAGGGCAGAGGGTTCAATTGCAGGGCCATATTCTCCCCACACTGCCAGGTGCAGAAAGGGTCATGGTACTTTTCCCCTTGGTGTTTGGTCTCTCTACCACTCACTCCAATTTTGTTGCAGGTAGGTGATTACTCACTGTGCTTCTTGGTGCTGAGTATGGTAGGAAGCTTTATATTTGTATTTTTTCTATCAGAAGTAACAAAACTATATTTCTTTTCAGAGATTGCTAGAAGTGAAGATTCAGATGTAGATGGTGAGTACAAACATGCAAATAAGTTTATTTTGTGGATGCTCTTTCAGGAGTTTTGCTTAGTGTGATGAGGGCAATACCAGCTCCTTGATGCCTAGAGATTGCCTAATCAAAAAGTAGAAGGTTGAAAACAGGTAATAACATGGAATGCTTTAACAGAAAAATACTGTGCAAGTCATTCCATGATGCCAAGTTACAGTGGGACTGTTGCATTTAGGAAGTAGAGTAATACAGGACAGACACTTGCCAAGTGTGAATTGATGTTCTGCTAAATTCTTTATCTATAGATCATTCATACAAATGCACAGAGTTGTATCTGTGAGTCAGAATAATGCAATACTATGTTTTTAATAAGAAAATAATTGAGTTTACCCCCAAACCAGAATGTGATCAATCCAGACTGCTCAAAGAGGCAAAGATCTGATGTCTGTATCAGGTGACCCAGAGCAGAGTTTCTGTTCAAGGTTTTGTTGTTCTGTGGTTCAAAAGCACCACAGCAAAAGTCTCCATCTCATGTAAAGGACCCCTCTAGTACTCACCTGTTACATCTTTAGAGAAAATTCACTGCCAGGCAGAGGCTGCCCAGTGTAGGAGAAATCAGCACCTGAAACTTGTTCTGAATGAACTCCCAAAGGCTTGGGTGCAGCAGGTGCCTCAGGGGCTGCTCAAACCACCAACAAAGAGAAAAGAAAAAACTGCTGCTTTAAACCTCTTGTTGGAGAGATGGTAAAAGACTCAGCTCTTTCTGGCAGTACAGGTGGGGAAAAAAGAGAATTTGGCAACTCCACTCATGACAAAGAGCAAACTGCTCTGTGTTTAAACTTCTAAAACACCTTATTTGTTCTTATGTTGTTTTTCTCTATGCCAGTGTAGCTGCAGGACATTCATTTCAGCAGCAGGTCTCATTCTGGGAGGTGCAGAAGTACTTGGTGTCAGGTGTTAGTAGAGGGATGGTTCTCACACCCTCAGTAATGAAGGGGAGCTTTTTACTGTGCCTGTGGTTGTGCAAAGCACCCAGGAATCAAACTGAAGCTGCCTTGTACTGTGGCTTTACTCCCCCACTGTCATTCTGAGACTATGGCTTGTCCCAGAAGAGGCAGAAAAGACTCAGAGTGCTTTAAAACAATTCAGTATTGTTAATGCAGCCATCTGGTTATACTTTTTAAAATTCATTTTTAAACCCATGCTCTTTGGAGTGATTTTAAAATTGCTAATTTGATCTTTCTGAAAGGTTTGCAGACCAACAAACAGTTTTACATATATTCTGCTCTGACAATCTATTTCAGATACAAAAGGGAAATAAACTTTGAACTCCTTAATTTCACAGTTCCATGGTACTAAAAGACTTCTCTTTTTTGTAGCTTATGAGGAGAGCACTCACCCCCCTCAGTGCACAGTACGGTGGATGGGCATACGGAAGGATGGTAATTGATTTATTAAATCAAACTGATGGCAAACCTGTTGAACCTTAGTCAAAGAATAAGATCTCTGGTTCAAAAAAGCCTTTATTTTTCCAACATGAGTGCTTTGTTGAAGTGCATCAAGGCTTCATGATGAAAATCATCGAGGCTTCTCACAATGTTTAGCCTAGTCCCTGAGAAATCTCAGGGAAATTGATTTAATTCCATGAGTGATACTCTGTACCTAAAGGTGCATTTGGAAGGGCCATGGCTGCAGTTGTGACCTAATCTTCCCTCTCAATTTCAGATGAATTCTTTCATTTTGTCATTCTTTGCTTTGCAATTGGAGCTTTACTAGTTTGCTACTACTACCACAAAGGTAAGGCAAGATTCAATAGAGGAATGTATTGTTGCACAGTAGAAAAATGAGCAAAGCTAACATTTATTTTGTTGCCTTAGATTGGACTATTTCTCTTGGGATTGGTTTAATCACCTTTGCTTCCCTGGAAACCACTGGGATATACTTTGGTCTAGGTAAGTGTCCCTCCAGCAGCAGCTGTGTCCCTGCTCTAAGGACAAGGTCACACAGTTGCCACAGCCCATGAAACTGCTGGGGCTGAGATTCTGTAACTCACCATGAAACTCCCCCAACATCTCCCAGTTACAGAGGGGATGCAGACAAGCAGCCTTAATGCAACTGAAGGGAGAGGTTGACTCATTTTTCCTTCTCAGTGATCACAAGACCCTGAGTCACCTCTTTCTGCAGCAATGGCCGAATGCTGTGTTGCCATGACAACGTGTAATTTTAGCAGCCAGGCCTGTCTTCCCAGATCCACTGGATAAGATGCTGTGCATCCTGGCTGCCATGCATTCCCCTGGGACTGAGGATGAGCTTGGGGCAGCAGCTACTGGAAATATTAAAACCTGTGCATTTTCACAATCCTTAAGGATAGTATAGGAGTGCTGCCACCAGCAGCAAGTTATGGCTCCCCAACCAAGAACTTGTCTCCTCTGTAATCTCATGTTAATGTGGTGGGAGGTTATGGATGGTTCTCTCATGACTCAGCCTGATCTTTCTTATTAATGATATTGCAGATGTGCTTGTTTAAACAAGTGTCAGTGTTTGGGTTTTGCCATTTACTTTTTTATGTTTTACATTACTTACCTTATATGTTTGTTTTCACACCCAGTGTACCGAATTCGGAGTGTCCTTGACAGCTTTGTTCCTCTGATTGACAGATTCAGGCCAAGAGGTAACAGTGCTCTTTTTCTTGACAGCATGTCTTCCCTGGACCTTGATTTGGCCAAGAATTAAGATCAACTCAGTTAAATGACAATTTCTCATCTTGATTGCCTTAAAAAAAAGGAGTATTTTACTACAGTTCGTTACAGCTGCTTGGGTTTGGAAATTAATTAGTCTTGACTCTTTCCCTGTGGCAGAATATTTTCACATTTTTAATAGTCCACCCTGTATGGGGTATTATTTCCTGGCAGTGTCTTGTGTAAGAATTCTATAGCTTAAATAAAAACTCAAGGGCTGGAGGGAGTTTTCAGTTGTTGGGTCTTCAGACAGACTCCTGGTTCACGTTTAAGGGCACAAAACACGAAGAATACCGAAAAGCTGCATGGATACAGTGAACAGAGCAGTCCTGACAGCTGTCTTTTTCTTCATCTCACAGGCATGAGGAAAGCTGCCTAGGAGGAGTATTTCAGGAGAGTTCCTCAAACCTGGCTGTCCAAATTTCCAGTGCTAAAGGAACTGCTTTATGAGGTGAACCTAACAACCAAATGGCCAATGTGAAATACTGAAATGTGAAACCTCTGAAAAGCATCACTCCTTTCCCTCCAAAATAAACCTGAAACTGGGGTACAGGGCCCCACTCTGGATTCTGAAGTGGTTTGGGGCTCAGCAGAGCTTGGAAAACAATGGGGATGTAGCTTTTTGTTCAATTCCATTGAAACACAAACACAGCCACCTTCCCTGCCCCAGGCAGCCATGTGCTGGTGCAGCTCTCATTTAACAAATCTCATCAGTCTGCCTGTGCTGTACCAGAACCAACAGACCAATGGCCTGTGCTGGTCCTGGCTTAGGCTCTGGCTGTTTCTGTAGGGATTCTGGCCTCCTCCTCCTCCCCCTGGTGCTGCCCAGAGCAGGCAGAGGCGGGCCCTGCTGTCCCAGCTGAGCCCCGCGGTGCCGGCACCGGGGCTGATGAATCGATTGTGGCAGAACTCGGAGCAGGGGGCGGGCAGAGGTTCCACCCGAGGAGAGCTGGGGAGATGTTACAGGCACTGACAGAGTGCTGCAGTAATGAGATTGTTATTAACAACAGCAGATTTCATCTTTTCTCAGGGGAAAAACAAAGTGTTTGATATGACTCATCTCCCAACCTTTTTCTTTCTTTGAGTAAAATAAACATGAAACTTTAACATTATAGGATATGTTACACATTGCAAGAATGCAACCATAGGAAGACTGCAACAAAGCTACATTTTAAGTAAAAATGTAAGGTCTTCATACCCACAGGACGATGAAGGCAACCAGTTGAACAGAAAAAGCCATAAACATGGACTTTTAAGGAAATGTAAATCTGAAAGCTGTAAAGCCAAACAGCTCAGAGTTTTACAGGAACAATTTCAAGCCTTGCTTAGAAAGTTAGAAAGGTTACTTTTTGTTGTAAATGGTTTGAAGCACTAGTGCCAGTCACTCTTGCCTGCAGTTCCAGCTGCACTGCCAGAAACACCAAGAGTTGCACTCAGGCCTGCACCAACACAGCACAGCTGCCACCCAATGCCTAAAGGGCTAAATTGTGCAAGAAGGATGAATATAAATTATTCACAGTATTTATATGCTCCTTTATATGTCTTTGTAGAAATATTTCACCATCCCAAACTACTGTATATTTTGTGTTAGTCTGCAAATAAGGCCTTGCTCAGAGCACTGTAGCCATGCTAGAGGCAAATGGCTTTTGGGTGAACTGAAAATTACAGTCACCCTGCTCTGATGAAAAGGGCTTTTTTGGTGTCCTCTGCTGTCTAATGTCTTTCTGAACGCAATTTGTGGAACAGTCAAGATGAGAAACATGCTTCAATACTTAATGTTTTAAATTTGGTACTCTGCGCTAAACATAAATTTTTAATTTTAACAGAAACTGCTTAAGGGTAAAATAAGCAAAACATTTAAAAACAGCAAAACATTTAAAAAGTCACCAAGTGCATCCCACCATGTGAGATGAACAGCTAAGCCACTTACAGCAGGTCCCATGAGAAAAGTCAGTTCTCAACAAAAAAGCAACTTACACATTAAGCTGCATCCTCTCGAGTACCTGAGAAGTTCCTGCTCTTCTTCCAGATCCTTTAGTCCTTCTCAGCATCACCCTTGCTGTAGCATCAGCCAAGCACTCAAAACTACAAGTTCCTATGAGGAGTTCCAATTTTTTTTCTTTCACCTGTGCTGTGTGCACTGCCATTCAGCCCAGCTGGGCCTCACCTCCCCGTTGGTTCCCCAGGACCTGGAACATCTCATTCCACCTCAGCACCACCCAGCACATGGGTACAGCCTCCTTGCCTTTGGTTTGAAATGGCTGGGGGCAATGCAGAGAGGAGGGGCTCTAAACATGCAGGTATTGCCCCACACCACCAAACCTCACAGAGAAAAGAAGAGATGAAACCCCAGAAGGTTTTTTAAGCTGGTATTTTTATTAGAACTCTCTACATAAAGCACCTTTGCCTGCCTTAACCTCTCCGAACGCAGCTCTTCGTTACACAGCACGAGATGCTCCCGTCTACTCGGCGTTCCTGGACTTGGACAGGGCTGCCCTCACCGCCTGCATGATGGCATCCTTGTCAATGCCAAACATCCTCAGCAGCTCCGCTGGCTTCCCGCTGCGGGGCACGTGGGACACGGCCAGGCGAGTGACGGTGACGCCGGGCTCGCCCACCACGGCGGCGCACACGGCTTCGCCCATGCCGCCTGCGGAGAGAGGGAGATACGGCACCGATGGAGCGTCCCAGCAGAACATCCACACTGTGTGTGAGGCCTGCACCTTCCAGCCTCCAGCCCCAGCCTCAGGAGAACACCAATCACACGTGTCTGAGTGGGCTGACTGCGACTGAAAAGCCTGTCCTGTGCCAAAGGCATCCTGAGGACAAGCCATAAGCATCCTGAAGTACTCAGCCATAAGCAGCAGGACACACCTGCCTCTCAAGGGCACAGGATTGTCAGCAAGCTCTCACCACCTCAGCACCAGCCACCAGGAGCCAGGTTTAAAAATACACTTTGACTGAAGAGCATTTACAAGTGCACTTAACGTGCTGAAATTCCAACCAATCTCAGCAGCTCAGAGCTCCATCTTTTCACAGTGTCTGTACGTGCTGCTGGGCACCTCTCTGGGTTATGTAATGTATTCACAACCTTTGCTCAGAGCTCAGCTCTGACTCACTATCAGTCACAGGCACAAAGGATGGGAACTGCATGGAGGCAGGAGAGACACTGGAAGCAGAAGTACTAAGGAAGAAGAAAAGAGGACTTGGGTCAAAAGCTTGTGCTGTAAAACCTGGTAGAAGGGACACCTTAGTGCTACCCTTCAGAGAGTGTTTCCAGGATCACAGGGCTGCCCACAGCTCCTGGCATGGTGGGATTTAACCAAGCTGAGCCTGCAGCCAGATGCCCCTCTGTGGATGCAGCTGGTGAGCTCAGTGGGATGGGGCCTGCAAGCACAGACACCTGCCCTGCCTGCACCACAGAGCACTGTGCCAGCACAGAGCCCCTGTTCAGCACCTCACAGTTAAGACTCTGCTGTCTTGCAAGCCTGTAGTAAAATGCTTATCCAGAGCTGAACATTGAGCTAGAAAATGAAGAGGTTCAGGTATCTATCACCATCCATAGTCTGGGACAAAAGGATGGAGTATCCAGCACTTACAGTAGAACCAATTCACTTCAGGTACCTGGCAAGAGTGATGCTCACCTTAACTTAAGGTAATATTCTCATAACTATATCTACTAATTTCTGTTAGTAGATATCTATGGTGGTAGAGAAGAAAAAGGGAGGAATTTATGCCACAGTAACTGGAAAAACTGTGGAAACTGCCCAAACCATCTGATTTCAGGTACCCTGGAGACAAGCTTTTGGACACATGGAATACTTAAACCTGCACAGCAATGGTCTCTCTTGCAATTTCACACCTGCAAAGAAGCTGCTGTACAGCCTTTCAGAGAACCCTCTGAGCAGAACCCCTGCAGCATAGCAGGAATTTACAATTTCACTGGGCACAAATGAATCCAGACTTCACTTGATCCAAGCACAGAAAGGGCACACAAGGCCTAGTGAATCAGAAAGACAGCCCTGATTACCCCTTAAATCTGTGGAGCCTTTCAATCCTCAGTGTCACTTTACAATCCTAACAGCACCAAAAAAACCTGAAATCTCTCTTTTGCTTTCATGAGATGACAGCATCAGGTCTCATACTCTGTCAGGTCAGAAGCTGGGAACTTCCAGCCTCTGAGGGCTGTGACCTCCCAGACCCTTCTTACCTTCATGGTAATGGTCCTCAACAGTGATGATTCTGCCCTTGGTTGCTCTTGCATTTTCAAGTATTGTCTTCTTATCCAGGGGCTTTATGGTGAAGGGATCAATCACACGGATGTAGATCTTTTCTGCATGAACAAAAGAAAATTATTTGCAACAATGAGCTGCAACATGCAAGTCAATGCCAGTGGTACAGGCAATGGCTGTGATCTCCTAGACCATTATGAGAACTGCCCACATGAACTGCCAGGTACCTGTACCTATGGCTCATCTACCACAGAGCCCAGCCAAGCCTAATTTCTATATGTATTCTTTCTCCATGGACCTTGTGGAATAGTGATACCCATTTATTCACAGACATGATGGAGGAAGCTTGGATGAGGGACTCAAGGTTACCAGGAGCACCCTGGTAAAAAGTAATGTAACTGGCTTTCCCCAGGTAAGAGAGAATCCACACACCAGAGAAATCCCCCTTACTCAGGCTGTCAATTGTAATTTTTTCCCCAGACCTTTATTTAACCTTTATTGTCAAGCCAAGTGCAATTTCCACCTGATTCTTTGGTGTGTAGGCATTCTGAATTCTTTCTTCACTGCAGGCTGCCACCTCTCAGGTGTGCCTGTCTGAGCTGCCCAGCCCTACCAGGGCACCCTTAAGGTTTGTTGGCACCAAACCCAGATCTGCCCTGCCCTCGTAAGGCAGGCCCAATGGCTCATTAAAGCTGCACACAAATGGCAATTGTTTCTAAAGAATAGCAATTATGTGAGGTTGTCTCTGATCCTGACTGGCTGCTACACATGAAGAGGCCCTATTGTCATTTTGTGACTGAAGGCTCTTTAGTGGCTATACATTTTAGATATTAGACTTTGCACTGTGGGATTATCTCTCCAGAGGTGATTACTCAGATTTCAAGACCAGCAGAGCACTGTAAAGCATGGTAAGTGTAGAAAAATAACAATGGTTCTGAAAATACAACTTCCAAAATGTCCTAAGCCTGGTGACTGAAGGTCATGACAAAGTATCAGTCCACCCAGATGCTGCACACAAAGCTCCCCATAAGCCACAGCAGCATTACTGTATTATCTCCTGCTATTTGTAATCTCTTCCTGAGGAGAGGCTCCTGACTCACAGATGGGTTTCGGATGGTTTCTTTCTCTTGTTTCATTGAAGGGTTACCATTGCTGTGAGATGTCAGTGGCTTGAGCACTGCCATAGATTTGTGCCCCTCCCACACTGGTTCAGAGTTGCTGCATTCAAAGGAACCCAGGTCAGCAGTGAGCCCAGCCCAGGGCCAGGTGCCCATGGGCACACA